GCAAAGTGGATATGCGCTATCGTTGGCATCGTTGCGGATTACATTTACACAACCCTCCCTAAACCTTGAAATCCCACAACTATAAAAATGGTGGCGCTGAGGAGCATTGTACATTACCAATATCACTCAATCATGATGAACTTGAAGCTTTCCCTTTTTATTACCCTTGCTCTCTTTGCACTTACGGTGATGTCCCAGCAGCAAGATCCCAAGGCAGTCCAACCAGACGGCGCAAGCCCCGCAGCCCCAGATCCAAACGCTCCAGCCGCTCCTGCTGCTCCTGCTGCTCCCAACGCTAAGCCTACCCCTGAAGAATGCATACAGAGATGCCAATCACAAATCCGGAACAACCTTTTTGGCTGCTTGACAAAGTGTCGATTTGGTTAGTTATCAGCGCTTCTGTGGACAACCGGTGTATGAGTAGTGAAGACTATTGTTCCTTACTGTATTAGTCTATTTTGACAATAAATCATTGGTTTCATATCATCTATTTGTATAAAAAAGATATAGGTGGCAACCAGCCCGAGTGCTATGTGATTGTCCACACTTGAAGTGTAACATGAGGTAGCTTGCCATCATACATAATGGGAAGCATAAAATGGTTTATGATGGTGTTGTTTATTGGGCAAATGCAATAGAGACGTTTGGCAGCATAATCATCATGCAACGTATTAACAACTTTTCCGAGATGACATTGCGTCGTCAAGCATGTGGTTTATTATTATGATTACACTAGCTTTGATGCTAGAGAAAAGACCAAAGTCATATTGGTGTCCCATAACTAATCACATCATAGTCTAGTTTGCTTGTGGCCGAGTGCCTTCATTCCCTATTCGAAATAGCAGGAAACATCATCATTCATTAGCTTGATGCGTGTCTTGTATAACCAGCAGGTACAAACTCCCCCGACTTTTCCTTTCAGCTTGTCTTTTCCGCTTTTACAACTTTGCTGCACTCAGACGCTCACCCGCAAGTCGAATGACCGTTGTCGAGAGCATTAGGTGGTGCGAATTACTAGGGGACCCCATTGTCACGGTGCAACATGGTAATGACGGCAACCGAATTGCCACGGCAACCGAGACTCTACAGCAAACAGCACAGCAATTCGTCAAGGTGCTCAATGAGCGTGCCAGGCTTTTATCCAACAGTGCACAATTTGATACAGCGTTACGTGACGCAGCAGCCATAAGAGCATTATTACCAAGATCAGGGCTTGGATACGTGTGTGGGGGAGACGTGCACTGTCACCAAGGACGTTATGCAGCAGCGATTTCCATATATGATCAAGGGCTTGTTGAAGTACCTGAATCAGATCCATATTATCAGCAACTTCAGCAACATCGCATCGCAGCAGCAACCAACAACAAAAAACGCGTCGACTTCATCAGCCAATTGCCTTTGGATACCGTCATCACCAACATTATACCTAGGATGGAGCGGCCAGTATACTTGGACTCGAATGTGTTGTATGAGCCTCTTTATGTATCACGTACATGGCAGGAGCGTATCTTACAGCAATCCAAAGACTTGAAGTTTCGATTTCGCAACCACGTCGACACATTCCAAAAGGGTCATGCACAGCTTGTCCGATTTGCACCCTATGTTCAGACCTTGAATGTTTGTTTGTTGAAAAACGTTCATGTGGGTGATCTCTTTTCTCGAGCGCACTTTTCCAATCTAAAAGAACTCGATATAACGTGTAAGTGTTGAGGGATAGCATGTCACGGGGAATGATAATAATTGTGACCGATTCTTTGTTTATTAGGTGCTCATGGTACAACGCCTCGTCTTCCCTTGATCCATGGGTTACAAATGATTGCTGATTCACTTACCCACTTGGCCATCTCTCAATGTCCTGGTCTTGCATTGCGTGATATCCTGGAGACATGTCCCAATCTTGTATTTCTGAAAACGAGAGATGTGGATGCATTTATGCCTTTATCATCAAGTTATCCCAAGATCAAACACCTTGAGCTCCACGAAGAACTAGATCGAATCCACACGCATGAACACATGGTCGATGTCCTAAGTCGATTTCCTTCCTTACGTATGCTGAAAATCACGCCAATGCCTGCCACCACTATTTTGCCTATCCTACGCAAGCATTGTCCTTATCTAGAGGCTATTTCTTTGGAGTGCAGGAGCCCGGATTTTGACGTAACTACAGCAAATGATCATCCAAATCGGAGAGGAATCACATCAGCGTATTTGGGCGGTGACGACTTTTATTATCAAGATCACCTGATCGAGTTCTTATACGAGCAGAGAAATTCATTGGAGATCTTCGATTTTCGTGGTACGCTTGAAGTCAACAATGCTCTTTGGGAAATATCAAATGATGGACGAGTTAAACCTCCGAGTACACCTTTACGGCTTGCGAATGACCTGTCATCGCCATTATCATTCACACAATTGGTCGACCTTCGGTTTACGAATACCCATCCATCTTCAGGTGTGCCTATGATACTATGGATTGTATTGAACGCACCCAACCTCAGCGCCATCCATCTCCCTCATTCCCATTTTCAGCCTGCTGTCGTACAAGCCATGATCAAATTGAAGCATCTTCATAAGGTACAAATCGAACATCAGAACGACATCGACGACATCGAAGACACAGATGACGATGTCATCAACGCGATGTATGAATACAGTATCATCGACGAAGTAGACGACAATATCGATGACGACGACGACGACGACGACGACGATGGCATCCACCAATTCTTTGCGCATCATGTTGCTTTGGGAGATCGCTCAACACTTGAACATGTGGTTGTGCGCATGTACTCTTTGGATGCACATCAACAAACATGGTTGCCTTTGTTATCACGATTGACATGCCTCAAGATCCTCGAATTATGTGGTGGAAGCAGGCACAATTGCACCGTTGCCGATAATTGCATACCCATCTTGAAAAGGATACACCTAGGCTGTCCCGCTCATGGGAAAGCGCCGAGTTGGCTAGGGAACCCATAAGCCTTTGCATCACCATCATCATCATCATACGAGTCTTAGATATTATTTTTATCCAAACATGACCTTATTTCATTTGTCAAAAGTCCATATTGAATACCATACTTTGTGTATACATAAATTCAACGTTTTATTAAAGAAGTACCCTTCTTGGATTATGTACAATATGAATTCGATTGCCAAAGTCAACTGTCATTGTATCTTTTGGTTTACTACGTATAATGGTGGCATCATTTACTTGCATAATTGGGATGGTTGGCAGTCAAGGGGTTTAAATGACAAGGTACACGCATAAAGGGGTCATCGCACAAGCTATGATTTTTCAAGGTTTCTATGCTACCAACTTGAGTTGAACGAGCTGACAACATGCTGAATTACAACGACAAGCCATATTTTGTTTCGGCTTAATACCTTTGCTTTGTTCAACACACACAACAACGAATGACCAAGGAAGGCATTAGCTGGTCCCAATTACTGAAGGACACCATTGTCACAGCTCAACATGGTAATGACGGCAACCGAATTGCCACGGCAACCGAGACTCTACAGCAAACAGCACAGCAATTCGTCAAGGTGCTCAATGAGCGTGCCAGGCTTTTATCCAACAGTGCACAATTTGATACAGCGTTACGTGATGCAGCAGCAATAAGAACCATATTACCAGGATCAGGGCTTGGATATTTGTGTATGGGAGACGTGTATTGTCAACAAGGGCATCATGCAGCAGCGATTTCCATGTACGACCAAGGGCTTGAAGCAGCACCCGAATCAAATCAATTTTATCATCAGCTTCAGCAACATCGAACGACTGCAGCAACCAACAACAACAAACGCGTCGATTTTATCAGCCGGTTGCCATTGGATATTGTGATCACCAACATTGTACCAAGGATGGAGTCAAGGTTATTTTCGCATGAGTTGTATGGGCCTCTTTATGTATCACGTACATGGCGGAAACGTTTCTTGCAGCAACCTCACGGCTTGGATTATCATTTTGGCTACGAGAATGACACCTTCAAGACGGGCCATGATCAACTTGTCCGATTTGCACCTATGTTCAGAGCTTATCGGGAAGCACGGTGGGAGATGCACGTTTGGATGATCTCTTTTCTCGTGGACACTTTGCCAACCTTAAACAACTTGAGCTACGCTGTAAGTATGGGACTCGTATATACGACACGAATGAAATCACTGATTTTGGCATGTATTCATATAGGTGCCTTTACCAGCCTTCGTGGTCCATTTATAAACGGCTTGCAATTGATTGCTGGTTCACTGACGCACTTGACCATTTCCGTGTATCCAGATGGTGTTGATTTACGTGGTATTTTGGAATCATGTCCAAACCTTACGTCTTTGGCAGTGGAGGAAATGGACACTGTCATACCTTCTTTACCATCATCATCATGTTATCCCAAGGTGGCTCATCTTGCACTTCACGTCGTATCAGACCCACCTCCCGCCCACAATGAGATGATAAACCTCCTCAGCCAGTTCCCTTCTTTGTTATCATTCGAGATCACGCCAATGCCTCCATCCAGTGTCTTGAGAATTCTACACGAGCATTGCCCTTATCTACAGGCTCTTTATTACGGTGACAGGAAGCTGGACTCCAACAAGTTCAATGTTCATCCAAATCGGAAGGAGATCAGATTGGCTCATATAGGTGGTGGCGATAACATGTGTCATCAAGACGACCTGATCCAGTTCTTGTATTTGCATCAAAATTCACTCGAAAGGATTGTATTCGATGCCGAGATTGATGTTGTGAATCGTGTTTGGAGGTTACACAACGACCAAGTAGTACCGTTGGGAGATGAAGATCCACCTTTGCTTTCTGAATATGACCCCACACAATCAAAAGCTTCGTTCTCGCAGCTGGTGGACATTGAGGTTTCGGATCCAGATCCAGCTAGAAGCGAGGCCCTTCTCACGTGGTTGATATTGAACACGCCCAATCTTAAAGCTATGAGGCTCTCCCATTCCCACCTTGAAGAATCTCGTTTAGCAAATGTGATGACTAGGTCGGAGCGCCTTACCAAGTTGAGGGTGGATGGAGAGTGGATAAATTATGACTTTGGTGGCATCACTGGATTCTTGGAGTTTCATATTGCAAAGGGGAACCAGTCAACGCTCGAAGAATTGATCCTATACATGAATACAGAGATGAATGATGGAGTAAGGTTGCTATCTTTGATTTCCAGACTGAAATGCCTCAAGAGCCTGGAAATAGTCTCTGTTCATGTGCCCGAGTATTGGAAACCAGCGTTCAAAGCCATAGGCCAAGGGTGTCTTGCGCTCGAAAACTTGACTCTCGGTTGCATTGGTGCCATGTATGATGGAGGTCTCATAAAGCCTCTGCATAAACTTCCAAATCTCAAATGTCTCAGCATTGGAGGAAGACCATTACCCAGCGAAGACCTTCTCGCCTTGATTGAATTTCCCAAGTTAGAACGCCTCTATCTCCACTGTCATGTACCCGATGTTATTATGAAGATGTTGCGTAATCATATACCAAGAGTCATTATTCCATAAATTAGAAGATGTATGATAATGCCTTGCTTTGTGACCACCTATAACCACGTATATGATTGCTTTATTGCATATCATTACCCCCATGCTTTCTCAACTTTCCAAAGTTATCAATAAAAGGTATGTAGCCATTCTCATCATCCAATTCTTGAAAATGAGGGATGTTTGCTTCATAAACTTGTATTCTGAACAGCGAGGGGCTAAACGGATGTGCGCATAGAGGAGAAACAGAACAATGAATCCCATAAGTGACAATCACCCAAAAACACACGTGACACATCGTCATTGTATACTCTTAATCCATGTAACACGTAACCAGTAGTCTCCTCATTGTGAAGCTTTACCATCACTTGATCCATCCAAGACCATAATCCTCCCAATCCCATCCACGCCTTGTAAATTCATGGTATTGCCAATATCCAACCCTTACTGCTCAAGAGCCCAGCAAGCAATAGTGTATGTCACGAAGCCGATGTATTACTGAATTTGAACGTTGTCACGATACAAAGGGGTTACCAAGTCTATCTACTCGTATGTGGATCATCCATGGTGGTCATGGTCTTGTTGTTGCACGTGGTGGTGGAATAGCGTCCATGGTCCATGGGATGCTGCCGATAAAAGAAAACGTGTATGTGTTGGCAAGAGAGCGTCCTTTCAACCAGCAGATCCAATCATTCAATCCATCATCCTCAGCATCATCCACTTGATTTTGCCATAGTTGATCCAAAGCTGCAGCCATATCAAAGCACCATTCAGAAGTTGAAGTCCGTCACCTGCTCTGGGATCTACTCACCCTCATGGTGGTTGACATATAACGTGATGGCTCCGTGCTGATGATACGCTCCTGAAAAAAGTGATTGCTCCTCCAGTTGTCCGTGTCATTGCATATCACCCAAAAGACCATACGAAACTGGTTTCATCGAATACGATTTGCCAATTGCCACATGAATGACCCATCGCCATCCATCATCTCCCTAATCGATGATGATCATGTCAGATAAGATCCATTTGCCACTATCCAAATCCATTCCACTCTTTACCTTGGTATGTAGATGCATTTGAATATGAGTACATGTGCGTGTTGTTATGCCAAGTAACCAAAAGGATGTCTCCAAGTTGTCGCACATGATGATCAATGCAAGGCGTTGCTGTCGATAAGGGTGATACGCTGGATCCAGTCGCCAAGGTATGCTGCAACACAATGCGTGAAGAAGAGTAGCTCGTATAATGCAATATGATCGTATCCACCAGCAAGCTTGTCAAAGGTCGTAATCTGGAAGAAGCGATGCCGTGTATGTTGAGTAATTCTGTCAAGAGTTTAACAGAGGGTGGAATGTACTGTGTTGTCTGCTGAAGAGAGGATGTCGATTGTATCGAACAAGTGGTTGTTGTTGTAAGATCATTGAATGAGAGACGTTGTTGGTGTTGAGAAGAAGCTTGAACAAGTCCCCCATACCACGCCGCCAGCTGTTTTACCTTCAATTATGGCCACCAGGTTACACGGACACATTCCCCATCATCCCAAAGCATGCATATTGTAGCGTATGCGATAGATACCATGGATTGATATAAATTCATCTCATATTGTACCTCTCAGACGGCGTTGTATGATATTGTGGGAGACCTTGGTGATGCGTTTGATCATCGATCTAACCACGCTTGAAAAGGGTTTAGGGCGCCTAATAAGTCATGCGTTAAGCCCGCTCCTTGAATGTTCATGCAAAACAAAGCTGTATAGACACCGCTTTTCCTGCAACATGAGCACCTTGTAGCGCTTTTCAATAGAATAGAATTCACGATGATGGTTTCGTATGAATAAGAACGCCAACAATGTGTATTGGATGGCACGCTTATTTGACATCGTCCATTGCGTAAATGATCCCCTTGATCAATCTTTGAGTCCCTCCATAATAAAGTTTCAGTCTGCAGCGGTTGACCTTCAAAACACCAGTAAAGGAGACACTTGTTGATCAAGGAGTGCAGCTTGCATACGAAGCGGAGTAAACTTGTTTGCAGCTTTACTGCATAGCACGGATGACAGCATTAGCAAAAATTTTGATATATGCTTTTCCCTTTTCGATGATGACATTTTGACAACATACAAAGGGTCACAAGTCGG